CCCCCCCCCCCCCCCCCCCCCCCCCCCCCCCCGCGGCTGCTCTTTAGGCAGGTGCTTCTTGGTTGCCCAGCTGTGGGGGGGGGGTTGGGCAGCTCCTCCAGCGGGGCTGGCAGTCCTGTGCCATCCTGACCTGACCTGACCTGCCATCTGGTGCCAGCTGAGACTTGTAGGCCAAAAGGATGCCTGTCCTAGTCTAGTGCCACCAAGGCCAGCCTTCCTGAAGGTTGCCCAGGTGAGGGACTGGATGGAAGCTAGTCTGACTATGCAACTGTTGTGCCTCCTTTCATTGCACAGCCAGGACCGTTACACTGAAAATATCCAGGTCTCCCCAAAGCATTATTCCTTTTCCTTGGTGAGCCAAGGACGCTTGATATCAAATCTACATTTCCTGCATTTGTAATTTATACTGATAGCTACACTGGCAAAAATACATCTGACTCAGAATTGTGTGTTTGATTTCTAACTTGAACCTTTAAATTGGAGAAATGGTGTAAAAGTTCCTTTAGAAGTCTGCACTGGTTGCACATCTGAACTTTGTGTAATCTTTAGACAACAGAAAGAACAACTCTGTTTTAAAGGAGGGTAGCACGGCTTTGCTTACTTTGTCTGTTTTGGGAGGCGGTTGTGGTGGTGGTGTCTTTGAGTCAGTCTCAGCTCCTGGTGACTGTATGGACTGGCCGGTGCAGTTGTCATGGCCACACTGTAGAAGCGATTTGCCCTTGCCTTCTTCCGGGGTGTTTCCTGACTTCCCCGTCTGGGGCTGAGGAAGGGACTGGCCTAAAGTCATCTTGCTGGCTTTTGTGCCTCAGACGGATCTAGAACTCAGTCTCCCCACCCGAAGTCCAGGGCCTTAACTACAAGACCGAAATGGCTCTCAGCAGTTCTGCCATCTTGGCCAGTTTCATTTAGGATCAATTTGTCTACTTCTGAATATAGAATGTCATTCTTATTCTAACACGGAATTTCCCTATCAACATATCAGAAAGAATGAAAACTGATTTGAAGAAGAGTATTGTAATACCTATTTAAATTTTGAATGGCTATAACTCTCAAGTGTGTTAAACTGCAATAGCGAAGTTACATCTAATCTTGATGTATTTTTGTTTTTCTGTTGAATCTTTAAAATTGTACCCATCTCTTCTTAGTCTCTCTGGTGTGCTTGCTTAGCATAGCTACAATCCACCGAGTACAAAAGTGTATCGTGCCTGTGCTCAGCCAGTATGGTTCAACGACACCTGTCCCCAGATGGCTTTTGAAAGGGGAGGAGAGCGATCGGGACTTGCTCAAAATTTGTGCTGGTTTTTGTTTCTCAAGGATCCCACTCTGCATTTTTGTGAATGGGATTTTAACCATGCAGATCATCTGATTCTCAGTCTGTTTTTCTGGGCTTGAGCACACTGGAAAGCCTCGCCCCATGGCCTCTCCAAGTCGAGGTAACACATGCCAGGTTTGCCCTCCCACTCACTTGCAAATGGCCTGGCACTCAGTAGCATCAGCCAGGGCCTGGGATGCCTCAAAGCCTGGGTGTTGTTTCTTGAGCTAAGGCGGCGGGTGGAATAGAAACAGGGAATGGCTTAAGGTCTCTAATGTACCTTATCTGAGCGGACCCGCCCCCCCCCCCCCCCCCC